GTACCATAAAATTGTCCTGTAGTGGGCTTATACATTTTTGCCCTTCAACTGTTCCTGCAGTACCATTACTCCAGTCAATTTCCGGGTAGTTAAAATCCCCCATTATTATCACTGTCCCAGCTCAGGAGCTCAGTCTCTACCTCCTCATTAACACTGGGTGGCCTATAGCAGACTCCAATGATTACCTTTGTAGTACACACCCCCATGTGCAGTTCCATCCATAATGCTTCAGCCTCATCACACTCTCCATCAACTAGGTCCTCTTTCCCACTCAGTCTGAGATCACTTCTCACATAGAGACAGATACCACCACCTTTCCTTTTTACCCTGTCTCTATGTGAACATAGCCGGGTATATTAATGGCCCAGTCATGTGAAAAATGAAGCCAAGATTCAGCAATACCAATTAAATCATAGTTCTCTTCATGCACCAAAGCTTTCAACTCACCTATTTTGCTTGGCAAACGTCTGGCATTGGCGAACAAACACTTAATTCATTGACACCTTGTGCACATGTATTTTGATAATTTTTTATTTTCATACAAATGCTACCAATTCCACTGGTTGTTTGTAACATGGGAACCTTCTTATCTGCCATAGCCCTCCTCCCATCTTTCCCCATTACACCCACCTATAAGTACTGACCCCTGTCTGATCTGTCTGCCCCATTATAATCTAATTCTCCCTCCCCCCTTGATTATAGTATAAATACTCCTTCAGCCTTCCCATAAACCTCTCCACCAGCACAGCAGACCCCCTTCCATTTAGGTGGAAACCATCTCTAGCATATAGGTTGCACCCCAATGAAAAGTCAGGCCAGTGCTCTAGAAACCCAAATCCCTACACCAGGTCTTAAGTCAGGCATTGAGTTCTCTAATCTCCCCCTGTCTTTCTTGAGTTGCGCATGGCACAGGTAATATTTCAGAGAATATCAACTTGTAGGTCCTTCCCTTCAACCTGCAGCCTAGTTCTTTAAATTGATTCTTAAGGAGCCTCCACTTTCCATGTATTCTGTCATTAGTTCCAACATGGACCAAGACAGCTGGGTCATGCCCAGCCCCCCCAGTAATTTATCAACCTGTCCACCACATGCTGAACCATTACACCAGGGAGACAGCAAACCATTTGGTTGAGGCGATCCTGGCGACAAATTTTTCTATCAGTCCTTCTGATTATAGAATCCCCTACTACCACCAACTGTCTAGGCCTTCCTGCACTACCCTCACCACCCCTCCCAGATGGTCTGCCCTCCTGGCTGTTAGGGATAGCAGTGACATCCAGGGCTGCCACCCCTGAGCTTGCCACCCCCACATTTTCACCCAACTTGCCAAATCTGTTTGGGTGCACAGACCCAGGGCCAGCCTTCCTTTTCTGTGAGCCCCTACCACTCCCTCTTGTTACAGTAACCCATCTAATTACCTGATAATCCTGATAAGCCCCTCCACCCTCCACATCAATCCCATTAGCTACCTGCTCAGAGAGCAGAAGACCCCTTTCAAGGTTGTTGGTTCTGCCCAGTGTTGCAACTGGCACTTCCAGATCTCTAACGTGAGATTCCAGGAGGGCAACCTGCTCACATCTGTCACAGCGGTATCCATCCTGGAGCTGTTGCTCCATTGCTGCATACATGTGGCACACTGTGCACTGCACAAAACTTTCAACCCTGCTAGCAGTCATATCCCAGTTAAAATATTAATAGGAAATATCAGTTGTCACTTACAGGTTAGTAGACTCCTGTTATAATCTGTTTTCAACTCTGGTTTTTTAACTCAACTTATCAAATGTCCACTTTGTCAAAGGTCCAGCAAGCAAAATACAGGCAAGCTCAAGAATGAGCAAGCTCAGAGTGAGGTCTACAGCAAGTTATAGTACCTGTAGCACCTGTGACCAATTAACCAATTACGTTACACAGGATCAGTCTTAGATCTGATGGTACACAACTTTATTACCCACATTTACAGGAGTTGAGTAGTCTTTGGAGGAGATGGGGCGGGTAATGAAGCCATGTACCATCATATCTAAGAGCGATCCTGTGTAACCCTCTGTATGGAGGATCGCTGTTATGAAAGGAGGCGGGAGATCACAGAGAAGCCTACACCTGCTCCCCACTCTCTCCTCTCTGCCACGGTCACTTCCCTGTCCGGACTGTTTACTGTAGTTCACTGCGGCCGACTCTGAGTGCGGGGAAGAGAAGGAAGCTCAGTGGTCATGGGCATAATGTACATAGGGGGCACCCAGCTTGAGGGGGGGGACAACTGAAATCTGGGGGGGCACAGCCCACCCCAGCACCCCCCTAGATCCGGCCATGACTTAAGTGTATTTTTTTTTTTAATGCAGATAATGAAGATAACTACATTTAACCTGATATCAATTTCTACAAAAGCACACAGGAGGGCGCAAACACCAAGTGCATTACAACAAGATTAATAACATAAAAACATCAAATCATAATCCAGTGTGGCATCAAGTGACCTAACCCATGCTCCACCATGTCAGCCAGCCCGCACCCCGTTCTTGAAGAAGTTGATGAGATGATTTTTTTTCCTCTTTTGTGGGTATAGATTTGACTTTTTGTTCATTTTATTAATAAATCTTCTGGTAATGCTCTAGGCGTTTGTGCCCTCCGGTGTGCTTTTTTAAGGCTGCTTTCACACTGATCTGTTTTTGTTCCGCTTTTGTGTTAAAAATAAGCAGAAGAAAAACACCTGAACATGAAATCCTTTTGGATCTCTTCACACTGATCTGTTGCAGGTCTGCTGCATTTTGTAAAATCCTGCTTGCTGCTTTTTTGGTGCATGTTTGGGAAAAACACATCTCCCTATTGAAATGAATAGAAAACGTGGCAAAAAGGCATCCAAAGAGCATTGCATTTTAGGAAAGGGTTTTGAGTCACATGTTCCATGAAAAATGAACCGCAGACACCGTAAAAACAGAAAAAATGCATATCTGTTTAACCGCATTTTCCTATGAAACAGTGTGAAGGTAGCCTTACAGTTTTTTTTATTGGATTCCCCTATCTGAGGATGGCTGCAACAGAGCGTTTCAGTAGAGGAATTTCACTATCTACACAGTACCTTGATTTTGTGGCAGTCCTCTGAGCGCTGGGGGTGTTTATTTGTTTGTGATATTAATCTCTCCCTAAACAGCAGTGCTAGGACAGGGGGAGGGAGAAGTAGCACAAAGAGCCAATCAGTCTTGTGGCATTGCAAGGCACATGCTGATAGTAGGAGAGAGCAGAGTGACAGAGATAAGCACATTGATCTTCTACTTCCCTTTTCATTGTAATCCAGTAAAGGTACAAGACCAATATTACTTGTCTGCAGCAGAGAAAGATCAGGTCTCCTGCCCTTCCAGGCAGCTTCCTTCCATTTATTTATTTCATCTAAGTATTTAGATGTCTGCCCTAAATTCATGTTTAAAGCCAGTTTAGATTGCTCAAATTTTAAAGAAGCAAACAAACAATCTTCAGCAGTTTTTGCGTTCTAAACTTTATTCACTTTTAAACTTTACTGGAATATACCTAACATTTTTACATTAACATTCTCATTTAATAGGTGTAGTGCCCCTCTAGTTACCTAGGGGGAGCTACTGTAGATACGTTTTTAGACAGAGGCTGAAAAGCAGCCTGGTATGAGTCAGCCTGAGTGTGAGTCAGGGCTGAGGGCTCAGCAAATCAGTTTTCTGATACCTCTCCCTGCTGTACGAACTTTAGAAGTTTATAGAAGGAAATGGGTGGAGGATCTGCATACTCAGGGGACTCTGACCAATCCCCAAGCAGAAGGCCTGGCAGGGGGTCAGGGCAGCCCTTAAGTATGAGCGAATCTGACCAGGAAGTGATCAGTGTTTGGTAGAAGAAGGGTGGAGTGTGGAGCCTTGGAGGGGGTCCAGGAGAGGGGCCTACCTGCAGGCAGGAGCTGGGGGGAGGATCTCTCAGCCTCCACCATCCCATGAGAGAGGACATCCTAGGAAGCAGGGAAGGAGCCAGCCCAGCGTAGGGCCTGAAGGCAGCCACCAATCCACAAGCTTGCATGAGAGGAGAGGAGAGTAATCACACACACCTGAGCCTGATAAGGGGAAAGGGCAGTTAGGTGGCCAATTCAGCTAGCTCCTCATCTGGAGCTGCTTGTTTAAAATGGCAGTTTCTGGGTCCCCTTGCTAAGGGATTCCCTCAGGCAGCTGGGTGAAGAGGAGAATTCATCTGGGGTCTGAGGTTGTACACCAGGAGGGGTGGAGAAACTCTCCAAGAAAATAATCTTTGTCTGTAGACTTGTACATAGTTGCTAAGGAGTTGTCCTCAAGTTGCAGTTTCCTTGGGCATCCCATACACTCCTCAACCCCATCCAAGTTCAATACCTCTTAAAACAAATGCCCAAGGACTGTTTACTGTCTCCAGTGTTCAAGAACTGAAGAAAATGTGTGCTGCCTGGTTGTACAGGACTATAGGGGGACCCAAAACTCAGCGACTCCTAAGGGGGGTAGTGCTACATAAGGGAAAAGCTGAAACCCAGACACAAAAACTTTCATTAATATATCTTTCTCAAAAGCCACTGAGGATATAAATAATCATTGTGTGCACCAAATGCCTTTGTAATCCCAGTTATTACCATGTAAAAATAGTGATGACATTATCACTGTGCTGTACATAGCCTGTGCAGAGAGCAGAGCAGTTAGAGGGACCCAACAGCTCAACCCACTACAGGCTGCCTGCAGAAAACTACAGGAAGGGGCGGAGACAAGACCAGTCACCCTGTATATGGAGACAGAGCAGCAGTGAGGGGTCTTTATTACAGGAAGCTCCTGCACAGAGGCAAATGTTCACACTGGATTGCTGCACAAATCTGGAAGAAATACACAAAGCACACCTAGATTTATATAGGAATACACAGGACTCTCGTATTTGGACAATATTTGCTTATTCCAGAGTTAAGCTCTAAGGTGAGGGTTACGCTAGTGGTGAAGTGTAAGACTATGATATCATAGCGATTCTGTGATATTACTTACCTGTAGATTGAACCTTTCCAGAAGTTCCTGTAATGTTTTAGGTCTTGGCCGCTTACTTTTCCTTCTCACTATCTTCCTTGGGGCAGGCGTTTCCTCTTCAGAAATGATGTCAACATATATAAATTTAAAATTCCCAATTTTGTTATTCAACATGCCTGTCCAAATGCCCATGGGGGTTTTGTAGATAATATCTATAATATCTCCTTTCTGGAAAACACATGCAGAAAATGGCCATTATGATAAAAATAAATGAACTGAGGGGATATGTTTATATAATCCATAATAACAAACCACCAGAGTACATTACCTTAATTTTTAGGGAATCGGTGTCATACGGGCTAGGAGTAAAGTCAGTATGAACCTTTGCTCGGCCACAAAATGGTCCGGTATAAGGAACATCATCATCAAGCCTGAAACTGTCTCTGTTGCTAGTCCCATCAGAGCAACTTGTTACACCACCTAGAAATAAGCATTCAGATTTTTTAAAAAAATGTATTATTTTATATTAAAATAAAGTTGAACAAGTTTGGTTACATCTACTACTTCATATCTCACAATTGAGATGCAGAAATTGGGGATGCAGACTGTCCTACATACAGCCAACACTGGTCTCTTCCAGGTGCTGCTGGACAGACTTGCCCTCTATATACTAAACACCTACCAATCAGAGAACCCGAATGATGTTGCGATCTCTGCCTCGTCCAATCACAGAATCCTTTGTATTTATTGAAAAAATATAAGACATTCTCTGAATGGTAGAAGTGCTGGGCAAGTGACACTCTTTGTTCAGTGTACAGGCAGAAAATTGCTCAAGCGAGTCCAGAAGAGGCCAGCACGGGCTGTATGTAGCACAGGATTCTGCAGTGAATATCTACATCCCCACCAACCCTCCGGATGTGAGATATGAAGATAGATGTAACCAAGCAAGATAACTTTAACACAAAAAAATAAATATAGTAACCATATTAAAAAAAAAAATATAGCAACCATATTCTTTCAACTGTTAGAAAAACACAGGACGGGACAGTAGAAAGCGTTTGCCAATTTCTTATATAAGACATAAGCTTTCCAATGAGGAAAAGATGGAGAGAAGCAATAAGGTAGCACAAGGATGATATTCAAAGTGCAGTAACACATAACAACCAGGAACCTCATGTTAACGAATAAGCCGAAACAGAAAGGTCTCATTCACACTCCTGACTACTTGCATGCCTGTGTAGGGCCTGGGTGAGCACCCCGGGTGTGTTTGAGGCCGTGCACCTGCATCCACACAGATGTCACTTTGGGACAAAGCAACTGTGTCAGTGTATCCACGTGTCCCAATAACATCTATGGGACCGTTGGCACTGGAATGTATGCAACGCCTGTGCATCCCCGTGCCAGAAAAACATGGCCCTGCATGGGGCACACAATTTTCGGCCTTGTCAACGAGACCAACTACAATCAAATGGGGCCCTCACATATATACAGGAAGCATAAGCTACATACTTAATAACTCTGTTTTTAATCCAGATATTGCTGTACTGCCCCAGTCCACCCCACTTCCTATTTACATATTCTTGTAGCCCTGGAACACACCTGTGTGTGATGCTGGAACCCACCTATGTGTGATGCTGGAACCCACCTGTGTGTGATACTGGAATCCACCTGTATGTGATACTGGAACCCACCTGTGTGTTATGCTGGAACCCACCTGTGTGTGATGCTGGAACCCACCTATGTGTGATCCTAAAAAATATCAGTTCAGGGTGGGCATCAACATTGTGGTACAGTTGCAAGAAAAAGTATGTGAACCCCTTGGGATTACGTGGAGTTTTGCATGAATTGGGCATAAAATGTGCTCTGAACGTCATCTAAGTCACAACAATAGAAGAACACAGTCTTCTATAGAAGAACACATTGCACTGTGAATGTTTACATGTTATGTGCAATTAAACCATGGCAACATCTAATGTTTGTGTAGTATTATGTTCAGCAGACTGTGTTCTTCTATTGTTGTGATTTAGATGACGTTCAGAGCACATTTTATGCCCAATTCATGCAAAACTCCACGTAATCCCAAGGGGTTCATACTTTTTCTTGCAACTGTATGCGGTATTCATTGCCAGTCCAAGGAGAAGGAAGGAGGAGGGGCAGTGACACTCTGAGACACAGAACTGCAGACTTGTCATATAGGAAAGATCTGAGTGGGGGGAATCACAAGACAAATCTTATGGCCGGTAAAACTTTTCCTACATTTGTTTTAGGTGTATGTTTACATGTTTGGCTGGCGTTATACTGTATAAGCATTACATGTCAAAACAGTTTCTGCCAATTTGCAACTGAATTATATTATTTGGAAAGATATCAAGATATGCAATCTGTCATTGCTGGTATCTTACAAGACATTTGTCAGATGACACTTGAGGAACTGTACCTAAAGGTCATTTGCTGAATGGCTCCCCATCCAATGATGTTTTTATGGATACTTACTCGATGAACTCTGACCGCTATTCAGACTGTAAAGACTTTCTACGGATTCACTGGCGTGCAGAGTGCACTTCTCAGCGGCATTCCCACCTGTAGGGTCACTGTCTCGCACAGAAAAATTCCCATCTCCATCTTCGCTCTGAAGAAGAAAAAAAAACACCTCTGCTTAATTGAGGGTAATAAAATAACAGTTTATCAAGTGATTTATTTTGCAAGTCATTACAGAATTTAACCTTGATGGGAGCTATAAAGTTTTTATACATAGAGAGTGTTAAAGTATTAATTGGTCAGATACTGTAACACACTGGAGGAATATTTAAGCTGGGCTCTGACAGAGCAGGAAGATCAAATACTTTATAACTCACTAGAATGCAGACCATTCACACTGTAAACACAATTTAAATGATTATAGGACAAGCAGCTACGGCGTGAAAGATTTTCTGCAAAAGGGTAAAGAAAACAGAAAACAACCATTTTTATGATCGTACCCTATGTTCCTGATATTTTATTTCATAGGTCAATGATTACTTAGCTTGAATACATTTGAATATCACTCAAAGCCCAATTCTTTGAAAGCGAGAAGGTTTTTTTTTAACCTTCATGCATTTTATGAATGAAGTTAAAAAACCTTCTGGGTGCAGCTCCAGCCACTTAACTGAGTCCCATCTTGATCCAGCGTTGTGCATAAAAGCATTGGCTATACCAGGTCTTTCTCTCCTCATTTGGCTCACACAGCAACAGGAGCCATTGGCTCCTGATGTTGTCAATCACAGCCAATGAGGAGAAATCAGGGGGACAGGGATGGACTGTGCCCTGTGTGTGAATAGACAGTGTCCATTCACTGGAGCGAGTCTGCTCGAGTGCTCCCCATAGCAAGAGGCAGGTGGGAGGAGCCTGCACCTCTGGTGGGGGACCCAAAAAGAGGAGGATTGGGGCTGTTCTGTGCGAAACTATTGCACAGAGCAGGCAGGAAAGTATAACATGTTTGTTTGTTTTTCATAATTACAACCTTTAGAATCATGTTAACTTCTCGTATTGGTCTTAGGGACACAGAAATGCAGATTTACTTACCCAGTCCATCAGTCCTCACCGCTGCTCGACATTGTTTCTTACGCTCCAACGGTCTAAGGTCCTGATGTCATCAAGTCCAGTGCAAGGTCCATAGCCCTGCAATGGATGCGAAGACATTGAGGAACATTCCTCCACTGGAGTGATGGGGAATACCATCTACTGGAGGTGCTGATGATCAGGTAAGTAAAGGTGCCCCCTCCTTAAACAAAATGAGCTTTTGACTCTTGGAGTTGGACTTTAATATTTTAATACAATTTGGCGTGATCAATGAAAATCTTAACAAAATGTTTGAATCAATATTTTTTTTATGTCCTATTTTGGTGTTGTCTTCTGATCTGAATGCACACACATCATGCACATGGCTATGCACACTTGTGTCAACTCTTAGCACCCAATCACAAGATTCTTAACAATTATTTTATAATGTGGCATTGTGTCTTAGTTAGGGTCTTATAGTGAGTTGCTGTTCACTTTAAAAGCCCCTATACCTCCTGCAGATACATAAAGAGGTGGATTTCTTAAAGACAAATAGGTTGTTCACTTTGCAAGGGAAATTTTACTTTTCAAGGAAACTTTCCGATAGCTCAGTGAATTTGGTAAAAAAATACCCTTTGCAAAGAATACTCAATCACATATAATGAAAACAAAAATCTTACACGTAATTAGATGAAAGAATTCAGCAGATCTCACCTCATTTACTAAGCCAAGGGAACATTCCCTTTGCAAAATTAACAGCTAATTGCTTTTAGTGAAATCAATCCCAAAGCATTCACCCAAACATATCTGCGTATATGGCCAGACACCTTTCAGAGTTCCCCAAGAGCCTTGATATCCAGAGAATCCCATGTGCAGATGGTGACCTGTAATAGTAGTTGAAAGCTAAAGTGGACATTGCAGTCACCTATCTGATTTTTATTACTATTGTTGTATTACAACATTTTGGATGTTAAGATTTTCCCCCAAAAAAACTAAAAAAAATAAGAAAAACAAAAAATCTGTTGCAACAACCAATGTCTACTGGTCCTAGGATGGACATTATTCAACCTCTCATGGGAAGAAAGATCAATTAAACAGGTTAGAATAGAAATTAGTTATGTTCCAATTCCTATTGATCCCCCTGTGATAAGTAGTACTAGCTGTTCCCCAGCCCCCAACAGAGACTGAACTGAGCAGTAATGTTAATGTAGCAAACATTGGGTCAGGTGTTGTGTTTGGTCATGGGATTAGGCAGTGAGGCTTAGGCTAATGGGTTAATTTAGGCCTTACATTGAGATTTATAGATGTAATTAGGTGTTAGGTTGAGACCTGCAACATGGTATTTTGGCTTAGTCAGGTTTAAGGGTTAGGTTGATGTTTGGGTTTAGGAGTTAGGCTCACGTTAAAGTTTAGGGGTTAGAATGAGATTAAGATTTAGGTTGATTAAGATAAAGGTAGATTAAGATTAGGTTGAGGTTCATGCTAAGGTTTAAGCCAGGCATACATGGATGAAAATTTGAATGGTTCAGCAGGGATTGGCATATTTTGATCCATGTATGGGCAGGGTGGTTGTACATAAGTTGATCTACCAATTGACTTCTGTACAATCGCACTGTCTGAATTTTGCTGCTTGATCAGAGCTGCTAGCTATAGTGTATTTGATGGCGGGGAAGTCTTCCCCACTGTCAGAATGCTCATTGAGGAGGATTCCCACATCCACCTTGAAGGTGTGGATGGCGGAATAGAGTAATTTTTTTAATCCAACCTGCTGGGTTATTAGTGTTGTGTATAAAGACCTATTTAAGAATTAAAGTGGTTGTAAAGGCTCGAGGTTTTTTACCTTCATGCATTCAATACATGAAGGTAAAAAACCTTCTGTGTGCAGCAGCTCCCCCAGCCCCCTCAATACTTATGTGAGCCTCATTGCGATCCAGCGATGTGAATGACAGCCTCGGCTGTTTCATGTCTCTGCCTTCTCACTGGCTGAGACAGCAAGCGAGAGCCATTGGCTTCCGTTGCTATCAATCACAGCCAGTCAGCCAATGAGGAGAGAGGGGGCATGACCAAACAGCGGCTCCATGTGTGAATGGACACATGGAGCAGCCGTTGCCCCATAGCAAACTGCTTACTGTGGGGACACCCGACAGACAAGAGGTGCCAGAAGAACCTACGGGGGATCCGAGAAGAGAAGGATCCAAGCTGCTCTGTGCAAAACCACTGCACACAGTAGGTAAGTATAGACAGGTTTGTTATTTTACAAAAAAAATGAACCTTTAGAATCGCTTTAATTGTAATATTTAATCATTTTTACCTCAGACAGAGTCTTGATGTACTTTTTGCCCATCTTTTTCCTCATGGTCAGAGAAATGGCTTTCATCTTTTTAGTCAGACTTCCAGCATGATTGGAAGCCTTGTCACCATCTGGAGGTCCTCCTCCTTCAAATATACTGTCGGAATCGCCCATCTGTTTAAGAACAAATCCACATTAGTTGGGAAAGTTTAGAGCATAACAAGATCACCGCACAATTGCTCTTTCAGGAACTTTATGAGGCACTTCATAAATGCAAGGCAACAAGGGAAATCAGCCAGTTATTCAGTGCAACTATACTAGCTCCAAAAATTTTTTTTCTTAAAAAGGGTTCCCCTGTAGGTTTTAAAAACAAAAAATAAGCAGCCCTGGCTGCAATACTCATCTCCTTCTGGCTCTGTCCCCCCACAGTAACTCCTGTTTTGAGTTAAATGATCCCCAGTGTCATTCACCCTAGAAGACTGAGACCATCCCATGATATCATAGACGCCTCCCATGATGGGGCGGAGTCATGGTACCACCATGGCTCTGTGCATTTACATATAATAATGAAAAAAATTAAAGCCCAACACGGCTTTTGGTTGGGACTCAAGCCTCTTGTTATATACTGTAATTTTCTGTCAAGTAGCTTCCCCTTGCTTTCAAGGGGTTAACAGTTTTTTTAATTTTGCTATGTTCTTGCTCTGGGGTTATCCAGGTCAGTTGTGTTTATGTACAGATCAGATATTAAAATGTATCTTTATGCAGCATTTGTCTTTGGATTACCTGCTAGGTTGGTGCATCTGAGAAATAAGAGTTGAAGCTATTGGTTGGGTTTTACCACTTTTTCTATGAAAATTACCACCCCCTGCAGGTCATACCATATAAAAAGTGGCTTTCTGCTTAAGGACTGCCAAGATGTAAGCTCCCATGTGGGAGCCCAGTTAGGGTTTCCTATGGGGCTGGGAACCTGAGGATTCTTATGGACCCTTAGCTACCAGCCATGGACTTATTGCCTTTGTGGATTACTGCCAATCATGGACTATTTGTTACCTCTGAGGATTTACTGCCTAAATTGACTCTTACTCTGAAAGGATTGCTTTTATGGACTTGCCATCTGCTTAAGGTACAGTCACTTTAAGGGGCACTTAGAGAACTTTGTACAGGAATGTATCAGAAGTGGTCTTGGAAGAACTGTTCCTGTGTGACCCTGCGCTAGTTTAGTAAAGACTGACATTGTTCCTGTAAATGCCTGGCCTGAAGTCTCTCAAAGGGTGCATGCATGGCTTATTAAAAGCACAGGGCTTACACCAGGGGACTGTAGGTTATAGCAGATACAGTACATTACGTCCAGCATATAGGATACTGTCTAGTACAGGCTATATTGCCATTGCTAGGAACAACTGTGTATGTCTCATTTGCTAAAGGCTGCCAGCCAACCAACCAGGGAACAGGTGACTGGCAAGAGTCATGGTTACTATGGTAGTGAAGGGGTGTTATGCTTGGCCCCTTCACTAGCAGCTGGGTCCCCACATTCTGGGACTGGATCCACAGTGCAGCGTACCTAGGGACCTAGCCTGGAAGTTACAAGAAAAAAAGATGTAGAGTAGCCCCAAGAAGGAGAACAAGCATGGAGTTAGATTAAAGAGTGTTTCCTGTATCCAGTAGCTGGAGTTGGACATGTCACTCCGAGTGAAGTGACATGAATTGCTGCGGTACAGATCCCTAAATGCTGCACACCTGGGAAATGGTGTTCTCTAACAAGTAGTTGGGTCTAGAGTGTTTAG